ATATAACACATAACAATGGAAGTCACTGTTATTTAGCAGACACACACACACACAAACACACACACTCGCACACACACTCAGAAGTAGAGAGGCGGTGTGTTGCCATGGTGAAGTTGTGATTATCATCATCTCAGTAAGCTGAAAACGCTGTGTCTCGTTATGAGGATGAAAAATCCTCACGAAGGAGACAAAACCGAAAGTGTGTGTGTGGTCACACAGAAACAGACACACACTTAAACCAATTAAATTCGACCTTAAGCCAATTAAATTAACGCCAGTGTATGAATAAGCAACTCATTTGTTAAATTGGATTACGAGTATTACTTACATTTGTACGTTTTAACGACTGTAACAACATAACGTCACTAAAAAGGTTTTTTTTATCAACTCTTTGGAGTTGCCATGAAGGGAACCCGAAGCTGCAAACATTAACTCTTTGATTTATTAAAAAAAGGTTTCAAATGAAAGACCTTTCTAATGCAGGTTCAGTAAAAAGTATGGGAGTAGTGCGAGTCATACAGCGGCCGTTGTCAACAGACTGTTGTCATAGAGACAGAACAGACATGCTGCGCTTTTCTTCTCAGCGCACAAAGCGCTTTATGCAAACGCTCCCGGGCGCACAGCCAGTGCTTTTCTGCCCGGGAAAACGCTATGTAGACACGGGGCCCTATGCAACTTCTAAAGCTACTTCAGAGTCAGGCAAATTTCCCAATCTCCAAATTTCTGTGATCTCGGTCGTTTGGCGGTAGATTGTGATAAAACTTAACCCGAGCTCATCTTGGCGATCACATCAGGTGAGTGTGTGAAGGCGTGTTGATGATGATGACGCGTGTGAGAGTAAGAGTAAACTAAGAGGAGGACGCTCCAGATAAACACTAAAAGAAGCGTCACACCTCCAATCTCTCCCTCTCTCTCTTAGACACACACTCTTTACTTGTGCGAGCCTGCGATGGCGATCATATACAAATTTACCTGGGCAGCCTTGAACTCGCCTGGTTGGCCCGTACGACTATCGTCCATTAGTTGGAAACGCTTTGTAGCAGTCGTTCTGAAACGTCGACATGTAGCTTTGACACGAGAGGTTGATGAGAGGTCAGTCCGTAGAGGAGCACTTTCAGGTGTTTCAAGAAGAGGAAAGTGAAGTGTGTCTTTGCTTCGCAGAGAAAAGTGAACAGAAGAGGAGCACTCAGTCAACAAAAGGCGCTCTTTTAGCCACAATGGCTCCAAGGTTAGAGTGCAATCAAAAGCCTTTAGTGTTGAATTGCTGACATCTCAAACTCAGTCGGCTAGGTTTAGGGCTCTGACCAAGGACGGCTGAGAAGAATATGTCAGCTCTTTGTATATCATCCAGACATGTTGAGCACTGGTGCTGGTTTTACTGGAGCGTCGTGTTGCAGAAGTCGACAGTAAACTTAAACTGAGAGGCTCAAATAGTTTACTGTAGAACAAAACAGGAAGAGAAATACAGCGGCAGCAGACGGAGGTTGACAGATTCAGTAATTACTATTTGAGACGACTTCTTTTATCCACTTCAAAAGCAGCAGGCGTCTTTTTTTAGAGCTACATGATGTGATATGAGGATGAACTATGATATATTATATAATGTATGAATTTTAACTTACAATGTAAAGATATTGATAATGACATTGATGTCTAAAGCACTTTTTAAATTATACAAAAGGAGTTCATATTTTTGAATGTTTGTCTCCGTTTCTGAAATAGTAGCCATGTGCAGTCATATAGAAAATTGAGGATGAATCATGATGCATCGTGTAGGGAATTGAATCAAATCATGAGACCAGTGAAGATGCACAGCTCTAGTGTAAATGCCTTAAATATTGGTGTGTGTGTGTCCCCCCCCCCGTAATGCCGACTGAGTGGACAACCAGATGGAAAAATGGCGCCTCAAATATTCCCTCTCTAGTGAAAACTTAGGGCCTCATCACTTCAGTTGATGATGTGCTTTAATGGTGCATGTTTTATCTGCATTAATCACATTACTGCCAACGCGCTGACACACAGTGAAAACGGAGGCTTCAGATTCCCCTGAGGGTCCGCACCCCGAGGCAGTCCATCGCTGCGCCTCGTTGGATATCATCCCTGAGCAAAACATCCAGTTTGAAAGCTTATCAGATTTGGAGAAAAAAAAAAAAAGGCTTCACGGAGATGTGTAACACTTTCCAGCTCTGAGAAATGATCAGCATAACAGTTCAGCTTGTTTTGGGTGATAATAGTAGACTCTGCTTCTGCTGCCAGATAAAAAACACATAATCACCACTCTGGGTCTGAATCATCGCCCACGTGTACCATCTTCTCATCAATTCAAATAATGAAGTGAAGTGAAATATGCAATTTAGTCTTCATAGTTTATATCTTAAAGTTTGAGCCGGTGAAATTCCCTCCGAAGATATTTTTAAATGTTGCACTAAAACTGTTGAACTTGGACGGCTGGTCTCGCTGGGGGATCCTCACATCAGCTCGGGGTAGCGCCTTTCAACACACCGCCAGTTTATATCTACTGCAGCATATTCTTCAGTGGCCTTCTGTACTCTGAGTTTCTCCCATTTGCTCCAATCTCAAACCCTTTTTGTGTAATTGCTTTCTAAACCGTTGACAGCGTCCTGCTCATTAGTAAGCAAGATAAATTGTCCTCTGGGTTTCTGTTTGTTACGGGTCTGTACACCCTGCCAGGCTTTCTCTCTGTCCTTCTTTTTCCCCTGTGGGCGTCCTCGAAGGCCTTTATTTTGGTTTTGATCTTTCCTCGCGCTGTTTACATCATCATTACTTCCTGCAGCTTTGAACGGCCGTTTTCCTCCTTAATCAGAGCTTTAAGTTTTCTTGTCGGCCATCGTCACTTTCACTTTTCTTCTAAGAATGAAGTGACTCTTTAAGTTTGTGATGTTTAAAGATCTGGTGTCATGGCAACCCCATACTGGATTGCATTAAATTTATCGGTGTATACCATATTTCTGTTTAGTGTTTGGCCAAACATTTTGGGAGTTTGGGAGCTTTGGGTTGTTGTGTGTCATATCTCTGGTGTTGCCCAACATCTCCCCTGTAGGTTTTCTGATAGAGGTCAGTCGCTATGGTTACCTCCAAACCCAGGCTTTAGAAACAGCTTCCTAAAAAGGCCAAAGGAATAAGCTGAATGATAAAGCTCCGGTTGACCATTCAGTGAACTTAAACCTTGATCATTTTAAATTAAACCAGCCTTAAAATGCATTCTTTGGCATTTATTAATACTGTGATGCAGGGAATACTTTTCGGCCCCCGAGAGTCCTACTTGCGGCGCTCAAGAACCACTCATTTGATCGACTTCACACTCAACACTGCTTCTCCCCCGAGTCCTCGGCAATACACCCGCCAAGTGAGAAGGAGAGGGAATGAGCCGCTCTCTAGATATGGAAAGTACAGTCAATCCTTCAAAGAGTGCATACATACAGAAATACAGAGAGTCCTTTGATGGATGGATGATGCTCCTACTGTTCAGAAAAATAGACAAAGTGGAACCAATGTTTGATGCTCATTATGACACAACTCGGTGCATATCTGTGATAGAATTAGCCGATACCGATAGTCACTTGATTTGCTATTATCGGTGGATATTATCGACTGGCCGACTAATCTGTCGAGTTCTAGCTAATGTGTATTTTTAGAAGGATTTATCTGCCTCAACCTAAAGAATATTTTGTTTCTGCACCTTGATGTTTGAAATCTACATATTGAAAAGTAAGGTTCATTGTTATTCTCCATTAAAAACAAACATGGCACCAATTCCGACAAGGTGTCCTCGTATTTATGGCAAACACTACTTCAGCTGTATAGATCGATTCCTAAAATATATGAAGGCGGTATCCAGACAGATGGAGAATGGGTTGTTTGAAGATGCATCAAAGATAACTGTTGGGACAGAAAAGCTTCAATATGAAGAGAAAACAACAACTTGCCGACAGACGATCAAACACAGTGACATTTAAACATCTTCTGTGCACTAAAAACAGCTTTTTAAAAGTTTGTCAAATACAAACACATAAAACAGCAGACTTCACAAACATCAGAATGAGGCTCATGTTTGGGAGCTCGGCAGCATGTGAGTCAGAGATGAAATGAAGATAGCAGAAATAAATCATTGCAGCGGTAAGCTGTTTATTTATTGATGGAGGCTTTCTTCTCTAACCCACATCAAAGGTGGAGTGACACACGAGGTGTGTGTGAATGAGAGGGAGTCTGAATGTGTGTGTGTGATGTGTGTGTTATACTCTGACAGCCAAATCAGGTCATTAAAATAAGATCAGAGTGACATGGCACCAGATCACACCCAGTCAAAGTTTAAACACGCCTCTCTCCTGTCAGGTGGGACAGTCGCTGAACAAGGAGTCAGAAATCTGTTCAGTCTGAATCTGAAAACAAACAATAGAAGAGTGAGAGCGAGCAGGGAGACAGGGAGGCGTCTGATTGGTTCATCAGATTGGTACCTCGCAGCAGACATTGGTTGAAGTTTCTACAGGTTTACAAACTGATACAGATGATGGATTCTCTTTGTTCCTTATTCAGAGAACATGAGTTATTCATTTCTGTCAGGACCTAAAGACAACTTACACCAAAATCTTCAAAAGTGGATCGATTTATAACCTCAGTGTCACTCTAAACACTTAGCAGGTTTAACGCTAGCTCTTTCACTCAGTAAGATGCTAAATAGTGCAACAAGAATTTCAGCCAGTCTCACAGATGACTGGAGTAGATCCTGAAGTACGTACTAACTCAAAAATAGAATTTGAATCATGAATCCAGAATCATTTTGACTCGGAAATAGATTCTGAATGGCATCGTGACCCCAAGAATCAAATCGAATCTTGAGAACTCCAAAGATTCCCAGCCCTGCTTGGGATGAACTCGTTCAGTCACATGAAAGTTTAATATAAAAAACACCTGAGGGGGTTTAATATCAGGGAAAATGTTGAATGCTGAGACGTCTGAAATGAGACAAAAAGGAGACAAAATCCAACTCAAGCCTTTATTTTGATAAACAAAAGAAAAAAAAGGAGAAATACTTTTGCAGCAAAACCTTTTACAGAGTGAAAGAAAAAAGTCTAAAGTGAGAGAATATTGAACAATATTCAGTTTAAAAAAGAAAGTCAAGTGAATTCATGAAACTAGAATTCAAACTGCAAATGGATCTACAAGAAGCTATGTTAGTTTGAGCTCGTAAAAGTGTTGATCCTTGGCTGGATTTAATCGAACCAGAAACCAAACTTTAAAAGAAACCATTTGTGTGTGGATGCACCCGACACGTCCAAGATTATCTAAAAGATCCAGTCCAAAAGCAAACGGAAATCTTGGGAGTTTAAAAAAAGCTCCGTCCAAGTGGTGGAGGCGATGCCCGGATGCATTTATTCAACGAAAGATTTGGCAGTGATACGACACAGAAAGCCTTAAAGAGAATATTTTGAATGATAATGTTGCACAGATCCATTTCTGTATGGTTGAGGAAGCCTGAATAATAATGCATGAAGAGAAATGCTATGAAAGTAAACGTCGGGGTCGCTGAACAGTCATTGAACAGCTGGTTGTGTTCGTCCCTCGAGCTTCTTCGCTCCTCTAGTTCCCCTTGCCTTTTCTCTTCTTTCCTGAAAGGAAGAGAAAACAGACGCATGAATATCACTCTGCATTAATTAATCTGATTTAAAAAAGGAGCACATCCAAAAAGTCTAACACAGCTGCTGAAATGCAGCACGCATCACTGATGGTTCCTCTCCACTGATGAAGAGGAAGTAATGGTCGGTCTAACCTTTGTTTTTTGATTTGGTTTTTCCAGGGCACGGCTTGGAGACGGTGATGGTCGGCTGACACTCGAGGTTAAACAGAGCCTTCTTCAGGGTCCCTGTTCTGGTCCGCAGGTCAGTCTGTGGATCACACTCTCCCCAGCTCACAAACCGATACTTACAGTCAGCTAAACCAGAGAGAGAAGAGGAATCAGGATTTAACTTGTGTCAGTTTATTTTGATCAGGAGTGAAGGACGTATTGTTGTCAAGATAACAGATTTTAAAACTTTGAAATGATTCTTGTAAAACTTTAGCAATATATGCTATATGATATAGCAGTAATATCAACGCCTGTTTCAATACCACTATAGAAAAATAGAAGTCCTAGACACACAATGTTTTAATCACCTCCTGACTTAATTGCACAAAAACATTTGCAGCCTTTTTTTTGTGCAACTTTGGACAGTGTGCAGGAGTGTCAGCTTTACACCTGTTCCCTTGAAAAGACGAGTCAGACTAGCGTTTCCTCCGCCGTTGTTGTTGACAAAGCCGATATCAGAAGTCCCGCACCTTCTTGATTTTGATTTGTTGGTGAGGGAGAAGTGACATTGACGAGCGTTGCGCGAACTTCTTTCAACTGAGTGCGCTGTGAGCACAAAAAACAGCTCAATCCGAGGGTGTTAAAGCGATCATGACAGTGAGCGCCGAGCTACATCGGTTTTATATTAAAAGGGGCGCCGCCTGTGTAAAAAACTCCCTCTGTGAACACAGGCGCTTCATGCACGATTGCATAGCGCTAACATAAAACACCAAAGAGTAAAAGAAAAAACCAAAGAGTAGTGCAGAATGAATCGGTTTAAGTTGCAACAGATCACCTCGACCTGCAGAGGGTTTAATGCTCTGGTAAAAGAGAAAAATGTGATAAAATCCAAAGTAAACCTCAAAGCTTGATGCTTAAAAAAACAACTACTTTAAGTTGAAGCTGCAAGCTGAGTACGGTCTGCAATTTTGGGAATAAAATATTTAAATTCCACCACAAAAAGCAGACAAAATCATTTGCTCCCCTCCAGCTACGCAGAGATTATTAATGCAGGGCTACTTCACAAGGTTGCATCACATGTTGCAGGTGTTTGTTGTTGTTTTCTCCTCCTCTCAGACTGTGGAGTCATGAGTCAGTGAGATGTGTGATGAAAACAAGAGCAAAGGTTTACACTGAGCGCAGAGTCGACTTTCAGATTCATTAAATCGTTTCATTTTATTGTTCAGTGGAGCTGTAGAGGTGTGTGTGCTGGCATGTTACCTCCAAATTCCTTTTTCCAGTTGCACGGCACTTTACATTTCATCTTCTTGGTCTGCTGGTCACACGACCCCTCTCTAAACCCGGCTCCACAGTCCCCGTTGCTAGGGACACAGTTGCCATAGCGCCAGTCGGTGCATCCTGACCCGGCCGGGGAGGGTTTGTTTTTCTCTGTGGATGGAATAAATATTTATTTCATGGTTATATCAGACACACATAGTTTCAATATTTTATAGACGTGAAATATCACTTTCAAAGAGAAGCCTGAGCCGCCCAGGTGGACCAGTCTGCAGGTGACAGGTGCTTACTGGGAGCTGTGGGTGTCAAAAAAGCGCTTTTAACCACTCGGGTGTTCAGTGATATTCAACTGAGCTGCGTTTATTAAAGGCCAGGTGCAAACATTGTGAGTTACCGTATGAACCATCAATCATTTAATGTTTTTATTATGGCTGTCAGCATGAACGAGTTAAACTCGATTACTCTGCTGCTATTTTGTCCCTTCAGGCTCACCGTAGTTGTCCTCAGTGTCTCCCTGTAGTCACTGTGATGTAAAAGAAGGACACTGCTGAAACACTTCCTGTTTCTGTGCTTTACTTCATGTCCTCACCTTCCATCTACAAGGTGCTCTTTTCTTTTTTTCAAAATAAAAGCACACAGCAAGTAAAGTCATCTCAGTTTAAGACAGGACAACATTTCAAAATAAAAGCCTTAAAAAAAAACCTTTTTTGAAAAGCAAAATGATCGAATTTCAATAACGTGATTGAAAATACGATTAATGCTGATTAAAAAATAAAATAATTTGTCAGCTCTAGTTTTTATTAATGCAACCACAAGTGAGTTGTTGTGGCATTTATTCGTTGTCTGGTCTATCAGAAGCGACTTGGGATGTGTTTTTCAGGGGGAAAGGGGCTGAAAGTATTTTTCTTTACATATCAATGTGTATTTCATACGACAGGTGTTTAGGAGAGTGGTGCACTCTGTCTTACTTGCAATAAACTAACTGGCAATGTCACACTTTAGGCCACCCCTGCATAAGTCAGAGCCCCCAGTTTGCCCCCCCCCCCCCCCCCCCAAGTCATAAAAGTCTGGACACGCCCCTGATACCAGAGAGAATGGTCTCATTTACTTTTATATATATAAATAAACGTGTGTGTGTGTGTGATGAAATCGGCTTTGTTTTGATTTGGGGTTATATATATGAAGTTGACTCGACAGGTCAAACTCATAAAGTGAGCGAGCGTGACGGACAGGAGTGAGCAGAAATTCTCACCTTTCTTGTTTTTCCCTCCGGCTGCAGCGACAGACACAGCGACTAAAAACAGCAGCGGCAGAAGAAGAGCAGCCCGCATCCTGCACAAACACACACACACACACACACACACACACACACACACACATCAACATTTAAGTGTTGCACATACATGACCACAATTAGTGAACCATTAAGTGTTGACCCTCACCCCTGAGGGATTTAATGCTAAATCATGATCTGCTCGTAGAGACACCCAGTTCAGAAATGTGGATAAAATCGATCACATCATTCTAAATGTTTGTCTCGTTATTGAAACAAACAAACTGACCATGTTTAAAACATCCATTCATGGGTTTATTTACTTGCATGAATGTTTCAGGAACAGTTTTGCAAAAGTTACATAATACATTTTAAAATCAAATTAAATAAAGTCGTTTGTAAAACTATCTCGATTATATCAGGAGAACAGGAAACATGCAGCAGCAGGTTGATTAGAGCACGGAGATGTGGCGTGGTGGCGTGCAGACAGTCTGTGGTCTTGCAGCGATCACAGGGAATAAACGCTCCAGGTGAATTCTCCTGATTATATCCTGCTGTGTTCTCACATCAGCTCACTCTGACTTCATGCAGAATAAACACGACGAGGCTGGAGGAGAAACTCTGGGTGAAATCTCCACACATGACGCTCCTCTGGGGAATATCAGGACTTATTCAGGAGTTTTCTGTAAATATGAAAGGCCTATTATAGACCATCAACATGTCAGGGTGCAATTTGTCAGCATTTTATACTCATATATTTATGGCCCCGGTGTTTAAGACTCAACCAACTTTTTAGATGAAAAAATAGGAATTAGAAGTGTATCTGATACTGAGGTACTGATACTCAAGTCAACAACTTCAAAATTGTGATGCAAAGAAAATAGTTTCTCACAATCCCAAACTCGAGTATAATTCTAAACAACACATGCACTATATGAGAAGAACCATAAAGCTTAAAACATTATCAGCCTTTCTTAAAAGTTGTTTTTTTTGAGAGTATAATAAACGAGCGAGCAGAGCTGCTGGAGTGAATGTTTCACACGCCAACCAGCCCGCAATTATGCACTGCTGCTCTAATAACCTGTCCAGGGACTCAGCTGAAAAAGCTTCCCATGAGACCCTCCGAGCTTCTCCAGGATCAACTGAAGCAGCAACCGGGTGTAAAAAAAAAAGATATATTTATGCCTGTAAAGCTCAAATTATAGAGACCTTGGTCTAGATCAGATACTCAGGAGGAGATTTTTAAATGATGTAACTGATTAGACAAAATTAGGTCTGCAAAGTGAGCTGTTGTAACTTATTTTTAAGTGCAGAAGAAGGTACTAATGATGAAACTTAAAGCTCCCTAATGTGGCTTCTGTTTCCACCACTGAGGCCTCAGGGTGGAAGGTTGAGGTCATCGTGGTCGTGTCCGGAAAGAGTCAACAGTGAGGCTCTCTCAGGTTAGAGGTTAATTAGAGCCTGCTGAAGTTGCTCTCAGTGAGAAACTGAATGAAGGGCAGCTGAAGCAGGTCTCCAGAGACCACATACAAGGATTAATGATCTTCATCCCTGATGTCCCTTTGTAAGGATACATGCAAATCCCGTGTTTTAGTTTCCTCTAGTACATAGTAGTCTGATAGTGGTGGCTGGGCGTCAGGGACATCAGGTGCCAGATCACCAAATGATGCGTTCATTCGATCCCAGAAGTAAAAAAATTAGGATTTGCTAGTCAGGTGTGCCTGACTAAACCCAACATGACTGCTCTGTTTTTCACCACTGAACCACAACAGAGACACGAGCAAGAGGACAAGAGATGCAATAATAACTACAGATAATAAAGAACAGTTTTATTTATTTGTGACCTGAAAGCTGCCCCACAGTTTCCCTCTGCTTCACTGTAGATAACGTAAAGCGTCCATAGACTGGAGTGGAACATTTGCTTTCACCTCGCCAGCAGTTTAAGGCTTAGTGTCTACTGGAATCAGCTGAGCTGGTTTGTTCTTATTAAAACTTTTCTGCCTTTATGCTAATTGTGTTTTTAGTTGGAAGTTTGACACAACAAATGCAGGTTTTACCTCCAATCTGAACGGAAAAGAAGGCCAACAAAGAGTGCATTCAGCTGTGAAATCATCAACTCTGAAAACCCAATTTCCTCATGTGTGCACCTCGTTTCATTAAATATACAGTATTTTCTTGGTGGGCCTTTTATAACCGTGTCCCTGGTGGCTCATAGTTAGCTCTGCGAGCTGCAGCGTTAGCAGAGGAAACATGTAACAGAACACACACCATGTTAGAGAGCAGCGCACAATGAGGGCAGTGCGTCCTGATTAATACGACCAATTACGTGCATGTTGAATTTTTTATATCAGCCGCTGGAAAGAGTTGAAAATGCACCACAAATCTCACAGTTTTTATCATTCTGCGAGCAGAGCTGTCCAAAATCAATACTTTGTTCGGACGCAAAAAACACAACAAACCCTGGATTTAAACACCCACAAGGGAGAGGAACGTCTGAAAGAATGTTAAGTAGAAACAGAAGAGATGCACGAGTTCATTATAAGTCAAGTTTAAAGTAAAACTAACTGAGACTGATGAGATGGAGATGCCGCCCACATGAAAAGTAAAGACAGAGAAAAGAAAGAAAGAACAGTCTGACATAAGCCTTTTATCCATAATACACAATCTCATTTTCAGTGAAGTCAGTGACCGAGAAACACACACACACTGCGAGCAACACCGCGGGGCTTCTCTGTATGAACGTGCGTGGGTGCAAGTGTGTTTGTGCAATTCAACAAAAGCAGAGAGAGAGAGAAGGGACTTGTTGGATGGCAGGTCATCTCTCCGCTCTGCATCATTTTATTCCTGCTAATGTTTGTTTCTATTTTCACAAACGTGTCTATGCCTTTGGTAAACCTGGATTGATTCAAATTTACCACCGCTTCTCCTGATGTCCCTCCTAATTGTCTGTAATGATTCCTTTTTATACTTGAAAATTCTCAATTTCAATACTTCAAAACAGGAACCGCCCTCTGACCTCATGATTGACACCTAATGTGATCAATTATGACCTTCCATTCACTGTTCCCAGCCTGCAATAGCCAATGAGAACCTGAGTGGTGCCTTCCCCTGTTCTGGGTTATCTATGCCAGGCCAATTGAACGCGACTGTGCCGATGACTGAGGTTTCTTGTAGCCAATCAGATTCTGAACATGTGGATATGTTGCTTCATTCAATAACTTGCATCCCAAAAGCAGGAAGAGCGTCTCTAACTCCACACAGGCCGTGGTCTGAGAGGATTATCTGCCACATTTCAACAGTAGTTTACACGTTTTTTGGGTTTTTTTTGGAGTTATTTGAACACATTCTGAAACTGCAGACTGCTTTTAAAAGAGTCCAAACGGTTTAAGAACAGTATTCGATAAATCCTCGGTGTATGTCTGGATTCAGTGTCATTTTACAGGATCTGTAACACACAACTATCACAAGACGACATCTCAAAATCAACGTATCCTCAAACAAAGCGTTCCTATCATGTCTTGCAGGATTTTTTCAACATATTTCTATCAGAGTCCAAGCGGTTCTGGTCTCCTGGTTGTTGGTTACTGCAGTTCAGCATCTGTTTCAAGGCCCCTTTCCACCTCTGTCTAATAAGTCTTTAATGAGAAACAGTCTGCTTCATTCGATCGAGGCAGGAGAAGTAATTGGTTAAGTTTAAGGAAACAAGACGAGGGTTAAAATAATAACAGAAGGTTGACTTTTTGTTCCACACAGGACGTGAATCCAGGTCGTGTGGGGAAGAAGTCCTGCGTTGATTCACCCCCAGCTGCCTCACAAAGCGGACAACTAATCCCTCGACTACCTCTCCTGCTTCCCCGTCAGGTAAGAACTTAAAATGTGTTTACTATCTGTAGGTAATCGTCGACTTCCAGTAGCTTACTTTTTCTTAAACGACTAATCTATCAGATCTGGGGCTTTGATTTCAGACTCTTTCTAAAGACAGAAAGAAAGGACATAAAATATGTTTATCTGCCGTCCTCAATATTTGTCAGAAAAGCATTTTATCTCCACTTAATTGTCTCAAATGAATCTCAGGTTAGCCGATATGTCGCTTCCGCTTCATCCGTTTTTCTTATTTATTACCATAAATTCTGAATTGTCCGACGTGTTTGCTGTGAATGCTCTGATCCAATAACCATGAGAATGTGATTTATTGTGCGCCCTTACAGATAATTACGTTCTACATGTAGTAGCTTAAACATTTATCAGTTCTTTCCCAGCCACCCTTAAAAAACATAATACTGAAGTCTTAATCTGTGCGGTTAGCTTTCATGACATAAAGAGAAATATTGTTGATATTGTGAAAGCCCCCTTTAAGAAATCAGGATTGCTCATTGCTGAAATGTTTGTCCACAACCTGACGGGATGATTTATAAAGGACTGGGCTAGAACCCAGTTACACCCCCCACCCTCGCTACACTCTCCGGACTTGTTAGTGAGTTCCCAGAGGACCCTCTGCTGCAGAGGATTAGATTGTATAACAGGTTTAACTCTGAAAATATTGTTGCATATTGTTGTGCCAGCTCTGGCTTAGTTTTTATCCTGCGTCTGGTGCTCGTCTTTGTGTTTGGCAGCAAGGTGCTCGGGCTAATCAAAACTTTGCACACCTTGATTCCCTGACGCTGAAAGTCTGCAAATCAAGCCAGAAGCATTGAAGTCGTTTTGGACTGTGACCTAAATATAGACAGCCATGAAGACAATGAAGCCCAGTGCCACCTCAAGATAATAGAAAGAGTGTAAAGACTTTTTCTTCTGGTGGTTTTTTTGTAGGTTTTTGTTATTTTTCATGCAGTTTTAGGGAGGTATGTGTGTGTATTTGTGTATTTGTGTATTTGCCGTTGGTCAAATGTTATGCTCATTGCAATCCAGCCAACTACCACTAGGCGGGGCTGTAGCCATAGACTGCCTGTAGCTGCTGTTAACAGGCCTGCTCTCTGTGCTCTACTACCCAGATGTAAACATTGGCTGTATGTTGATCTGGAAAATGGAGTTAAAGTTTTTTGTAGGTTGTGTCATTAAA